AACTGAGCATGTAAACAGAATTGCAGGAACAAGACATGATAAAGTTTTTATCACTGATCATATTTACAAACTTATGAACTCTATGTCTGTGTATAATTGCTTTGGACAAAACATCCCAAGCTCTATAAACCATGTTTTTAGGTATCCCATTTATAGAATCATAGAATAGTTTGGGCCAGTAGGAACCTTTAAAGGTCATCTAGTCCACTACCTCTCTGAACAATATGTTCCAATGTTTTACTACCTTACAATAAAAAAAAAATTCTTCCTTCTATTTAGTCTACCCTCCTTCAGCTTAAAACCATTCTTCAGGCTGAATAAGCCCAACTCTGTCAGCCTTGAATTGGAAAACAATCTAACTGATTTGAGCTTTTCTTCAGTTTTCAGCTTACAGAAAACCTACGTGCCAGGGACTGTCCCACATTGTATTTTAAAATACAACCTGAATACTAGCTCCTTGGTCCACTGAAGGAAGGCAAATCAATCTCTCGCCACCCAAACTGATTTAGGAAAAAGGTTGAACATACTCCATGAACATGCTCACCCTCAGCAGCTACCATGGTACTCATGGTGAGCCCTCAGTCCTCTGATCCAAAAGGCTTTCAGTAATGGTACTCCCTGAAGCGGAAAAGGGTTTGGAAGTGGGTATTCCTCAGCACAACTTAAGAACAACTTAAGAGCTTCCCCTTTCTTCTGACCCTGTGAAGATACTGATCATATGCATGGAGAGGAGGAAAAAGTAGGGGCTCTACCTGAGAGACCAATATTTTTTTGCCTACTGCAGACAGATCATTGACAGTGAAATTGGGAGGGGCTATTTCATTGAGTATGGCTGACATAGGGGTATGGTCAATACTGTGTATGCTATGGATAATCCTTTTTTATGGGAAGTGAGAGTAACAAATGAAGAAAACTAAGTTCTACCCATAAATATCTAGCATTCTTCAAGTCACTTGTGGGCAAGTATCCAACTAATAGAAAATTACTTGGAGCAGAAAAAAAAATGCATACATACTAAACAAAATCTTCATGAAAGAAAACAAATGGCAACTTAGGTGACATTATACAATATAATTATCTTCCTCAGTTTAGACAGGAGAAAGCTGGGACAGATCTAAGACTGCACCAGAAAACCTGTCCGTAATGGTTTGATGGCACGTAGCATATGACCTGGGAATCACAAATTCCTGCAGTTTAGTTTTGTCTTTCCTCAATGGGAATTTGAAGAACCCCTTGCAAACTGCTCCCAGGAAGTGTCCTACAGAATGCATTTCCTGCTGGTTATACATCTGACTTGATTGAGAGTCTGAGTGCTGGACATTTTAAACCAAGAATATGTTTTTAATTTCCTCCACTCACTGATCTGTAATGGAATACTTTAAAGTACCTCTCATGTCAACTACATAAAGATGTTTTCCAAGTTTCAACTTGTGACAAAAATAACATAAATAATTAGTTACACTGGATTTCTCCCTTATACAAAACATAATAAAGCAGATGTTAGCATTTCCTTTTCAGGAAAGGATTATGCTTAACATGCTTGAATCTAGCAACTCATTTACTCTTGTAGTTGCTATGAGTAAGGAAATGGGAGTAAGTATAATGAGACTGTTAGTGAAAGACGTTTTGTGGTGATATATAAAACCAGGTTACAATGTTTCCTTGGGAACCCCTCATGTCTAGCAGAACTAGAAAGGAACAGATTGAAAAAAGGTATCAGAAAACTTATATTAATAACTCTGCTGGTGTCAGTACATTTAGATGACTTAGAGAAGTCACCAAAAGAAAATATCACGTGCTTTTAATATACAACTGAGTGAATTTTCATTTGCAGATTTTACAGTGAGGAACAATTTCAGCAGAAGATTGTAAAACAGTTGCGGGAATCTGCTTTTACAGAGTGTGGTAGTGAGTTCAGAATGAGAACTGAGAGGAACAGAAAGGGCAGGTACCTGGAGACGTGAACGTGAAGGTCAGAATTTACAGATGAGGGAATTGCAAATGAATGCTCCTTAAAAATCAGTTTTGTAAATGATCATACTACATGATAGTAATTTTTGGTATTGGTTGATTGTAGATTATTGTTGACACCATTACTCTGGAGTGGGTAGAGAAGTCTGTGCTCTGAGAATGTTTTCATCAATATGTCACCTGGGTCATGTAAATAACAGTAACACCACGAGACAATTCTGTGCAGGCTGACAGGAACATAAGCAAATGATGTTTGATTTTATGTGCATAAAATGTGAGGAATGATAGGTGGAACTGATTGGGAGAAAGGAAGGTAGAAGCACAGAAAGGTCAAGTTGAACCATTTATTTGGTGAGGATGTCATCTGCTCTGAATCTGCCCTCTCTTTTGAAAGCCACTAGCTAAATAGTGGCTTTCATTTGTTTATAGTCACTCACTTACTGGTACAGGATTTAGTGGAAACAGAGCAAATACCAAGGAGAAAAGAAAGCTCTTGAAATTCTACGGTCATGCTCAGAGCAAGTATTTGTAATTTGTGGGTGAAAATCACAGGCATAATGAAATAATTACAGAAGCAGTCACTGTAAATCCAGAAAGTTCAGAGGTAAATGTCCATTGGAAAGAAATTCAGATGAATGAAACAATGCACATAGGACAGTAGTGATGTTTTGCAATCAAAACTACAGCCTGAATACTGTTAGTGTTTATGGTTGAGGCATGGCATGAAACTGTGTAACCTGACAGGGTGGAGAGATTGCTTTCAACTGGTCTGTTTTTTTTTTTTAAATCATTCTTAGAAGTGATTGAGTGATTTCTCTTTTTCTCCACTTTCCCAGGATAAAATGTAGTTTCCCAAAAGGGTCAGTGCAGTTAATTCCTCCATTCAACATTCATAGATTGATAAGGACTGTACTATCTTTGGTAATCTGATGACACATGGTGCTACATTTCCTTCTCTTTTTGACTTCAATGCCAAATTTATCTAGTGCCTGGAAGAAACAAGGAATTCGGTGAGAGCCAGCTGGCTGGAATCCAGTCTGAAAGGTGAAGGTGATGTGGACTGAAAGAGCAGAATGCTTTCAGCACTGAATGAAAAATCATACAGTTTATTTTACAAGGATATCTGCATATATATAATTTGCTCAATGTCTACACAATGGTTTGTGTATAATAACAAAGGGTCTATTATACATAATTTTACATCAAGAAATGGAACAGGCTCCCTTCAGCTAAGGATACCAATGACATTTTTTAGACAAAATTAAATTTTGATGAATATATGTGCATGATAATAGGTATGGATTACTGCTAAGGCTTGCTTTATCCAGCCAGTCTCTCATGTCCTTCTGGCAATCTATTCCTCCAGAATTTGTTTCCCCAAAGAAATGATGTTTTCAGCTCAAAATTGCATGTGGATCAGCTAGTGGAGCTACATCCTAGAATTTATTCTCTATGGAAATACAAATAATGAAGACTATGATAGTTTCAGGAAGAGGACTTTTTTCACCAGGCCTTTGCAAGTTGATGTCATGGTCCATTACAAATAGCACCAGCTGCAGTAATGTATGATTTCAAACTGTTCAAACTAACCTTACAAAACCACTTCTGTGAGTGCATATACTTAGATGTTAACCAACATTGATGTGAAATAGGAGTTATGTCTTGTGAGAGAACAGCAAGAACTCTATTGTCACTTGTAGATTGAAACCCTACAGATTTGGATTGAATTGTTTCTTTGTCATTCTTGGATAGGGTATTTTCCATTTATTTTGGCTGGATGGCAAAGGTACTGTAGGATACTTTTTCCAGAAATAATTTCTTGCCACTTAAATGACTGCTCAGGTGGGGGATTTAGAGGTAGCAGAAGAGTTTTGAGAGCTTTCTTCCTCGACTACCTGGTGTCCACATGAAAGGAGGACTTGCTTCTCCAGACTTCTCTCATGGGTGTCACAGTCTTGCTCTTCTGGGTAGGAGGAATCTGTCCAGACAGACGCTGGGGCAGATTTGACACCGCAGCAGGGCGTTTGTGGGTGATGGAGGATCAGCTGCTCTGCTGGGCTGGACCCGCATGGTTGAACAGCGATGCCTCTCCCGGCCTGGGGGAGGGAGGCCGGCCCGGCGCCCATCCCGCCGCTCCCCTCGGCGCTGCTCTCCGGTTCTCAGCCCGAACTTCGGACCGCGCCGCCGGCCTTCGAGCGGACGGGGCTATGGGGGGCTCTGCCACTCCCCAGGGCCGCTTCCCCCTCGCCCTTCCCGATGCCTCCTCCTCCTCCTCCTCCTCCTCGAGGGGGCCGGCGCTCTCCCCGCCAGCTCCTTCGCTCGGGGGCTGCTCTCCGGGCTGGGCCCCGCCGAGCAGGTGCCGCTCTGGGCACGCCCCGCGGGCAGCGCCGGCGGCGGGAGCGGCGGGAGCGGCGGCCGCGCAGCATCTCCCCGCCCTCCCCCTCGCCCCCCCGCGGCCGCCGGGCTCGGTCCTCCCAGCGCGTCGCCGGCGCCTTGGCTCCTCCTTGTCCTTCCTCGCGTGATTTTTATCGCGTCCATTTTTCGTGCAGGGATAAATAAATAAATAAGGGCAGCTGCCGCCCGCCGCCCCCCGCCGCCAGCCCGCGCGGCGCCGCTAGGGGCGGCAGCCGGGCCCCGCATCGCCCCGCGCCGCTCGGCTCAGGCGGGGGAGGCGGCGGGGCGATGCGGAGCCCCCTCCCGTGACTCCGGCTCTCCGCCATGCCATGGGTTAGGCGGACTCCATCCCGCAGCCGAGAGGGCACCAGCCAAGCGAGGCGGCGGCAGGAAGCGGCGCGGCCCGGCCGAGGAGCGGCGGCGGGAGGCGGCGGCGGCGGGAGGCGGGCGCGGCGCCCCGCGGCCCCTTCCATGGACGGCGGCGAGGAATTATGAGCCGCGGCCGGCGGCCGGGACTGGCGCTCGCCCGCTGGGGCTTCCCCTGCGCGCCCCGGGGCGCCGGGGCTCCGCTCTCGCACGGCACCCGCCTCGCCCCCCGGCAGCCGCTGCCCCCGTCTCCTGACCCCCGCCGCTGGCTCCGTCCCCCGTCTCCCCGCCGGGCGCTCAGGGTCGGGATAATCTTGCTCGCACCCAAACCACAGCTCTCCCGCGGCTAATCCTGCCCTCTCCTCTCTCCCTCCCTACCCCGCCCCCGGCCCTTCCTCTCCCGGCGCTGCCCTCTCCCCTCCCCACTCCTCCTGCTCGCCCCCCGGGGCCCCTCCGTCCCCGTCCCCCCGCTGCCGCCGGCGGCCGGGCGGGTGGGTGCGAGGTCGGGGCTGACGGGCACCCCGCCCCTCCCCGGCGGGGCCGTCATTAGGCTGCCGGTTCATTACAGGGTATTGATTTGTATGTGCTTCTCCCGGCGCCGGCCGCTCCCGCTGGTGCTGCCGGAGTTCGGGCAGCGCTTCCCGTAGCGGCGGCAGCTCCCACCAAACATGTCGGCTCCCGCCGGGCCCCGGAGCGGCCCCGCCGCTCCTCAGCCTCCTCCGGCCCCGCAGCCCGAGATGCCGGACCTCAGCCACCTCACGGAGGAAGAGCGGAAGATCATCCTGGCCGTCATGGACCGCCAGAAGAAGGAAGAGGAGAAGGAGCAATCCGTGCTCAAGTAAGGGCGGGCGCATCCCTTCCTCGTCCTCCCGGGCCCGCGGCCGCGGAAGTCTCTGCCCCGGCCCCGGGGGGCGGCACGGCCAGGGCGGGAGAAAGGAGCCGGGCGGGCAGGGGCGGGCAGGGGTACTTGGTGGCGGGCGAGTGTGGGGCACGGCGCGGGGGGGACCGCGGGAGCGGCAGAGACGGGGCTGGGCTCTCCTCCCGCCTCGGCCGCGCTCCGCGGGGCGGCTCCGGCTCCGCGCGTCCCGGCGCCGGCGGGGCCAGGCGCCCAACATGGCCGCACAGGTGCCGTCCTCACCCGGCGTGTGCCACCGGGAGGACGGGGGTGGGTCGGGGCGGCGGTCGGCGCCTCCGGAGGGGGCGGACCGGCGGCACCGGGCCCCGTCTCGGGGGCGCGGCGGGCTCCGCGCTGGCGGCGGCGGCCCTGGCGGGCGGAGCGGGACCGCCGGGGCCTGGGCTCCGGCCGCTTCGCTGGGTGGGTTTGCCACCGCCGCCATCTTCCCCCGACAACGTGTCTGCCGCCCGCCCCCGCCCCGCTGCTCTTTCCAAGCGTGAGCCCCGGCGCCGGGGGAAGCGGGGCACGGCCGGGGGAGCGGCCCCGGCTCTGGCGCCGGCCCCGGGAGCTGTCCACACCACTCGGCTCAGCACCGGGAGCTGTCCGCTGTCTCCCGGCTGGGCTCAGCACCGGGAGCTGTCCGCGGTCTCGGCTGGGCACGGGGCGGTGTTGGCGGAGCGGCGGGGCCGGGGCCGCGCGGTCTCTCCCCGTGGGCGCTGCCCCAGCCCCGGGCGGGCCGCCGGTCTCGGTGGAGCGCGGGGGTCCCGCTGCCTTGCACGGCGTGGGTCGTGTCCTTCCCCAGCCGGGCTGGGAGGCACCGAGTAAAGTCGACAAAACTGTGCTCCCTCCGTGGCGGAGCAACCACGCTGACTTCCAATGGCTTAAAAATAAGCAAAGCTACTGCTATCGTGGACGTGCCTTTGATGAGTGTGACAAAGCTGAAGCACTAAGCAGTTTTTTATACCGAAATTAATGTTGTGCCTTGGACATGTTGACTGCAGCTGGCCTTTCACACTCAGCACCTGGAAACTGTCCTCTGGGCTTTAGTTGTTGACTTTGAAGTCTGTTTCCAAGATTCATTGCATTATTGTTAGCATCATACCAAAAACTTCAGATATCATTTGTGTGACAGCTCCTAAATGTCGAGGTGATCTCCTAAAAATATTTCAAAGTCTGTTTAAAAAGGATTTTTTTGAGGTGAACGTTTTGAAATATGTCAGTGAGTACTGGAAATAAAGGACCATCTTGTTTTGTCACCACCTCTTAGCCTCTTGCTCTACAATTTGTTTGCTATTGTAATACTTTTATTTGAAAACAATTTAGACTCCTTTACATTACTAAATTTTGTAATTTATCAAAATAAATTCAAATGTTTTTTCTAAAATTGCTGTACTCTTAAAAATCTTCAACAAAGAAGGAAATGGAAGTTCAAGTTGCAAGTTGCAGATCTTCAAGGAATTCAAGCTGCAGTTTAAATATATGTTAAAAGCATTAGAGTTTTAAAAAAGGTTTCTGGCAACTTTCGTTGTGGACAATAATATTTATGATCAAATATAAGGTATGATTTCAGTATGACACTTGAATCAGCTTGAACTGGTAAGCTTGCAAATGAAGAATAAACTGTTCTCAAGTAATGGCAAGGTAAAACCAACTTAAGAAATGAAACAGAACTGTTTTCATTTGTGGTTTTCAGAATCTTGGAAGCAGACAATGGACAAAAGAAAGATCTTCAGCAACTCTAAAGATAAACTTTATGTGACATTCAGTTTCTCTTTATGTCTCACTAAAGTGTCCTCTTGAGTTCTGCGTAAGCTGTGAGGGAAATGGTGTGGTGTAAAGTTTATACAAAAAGCATAACCTAAAGCAGCTCTCTTAGGAGAATGCTGTTGTCAATTGAATTTGAATAGATAGCCTAAGATATTTTAGAGGATACTGAGACGTGATCTGGTGTCAGATGAAGAACTCACCAGTTTAATTTTTCTTAAAATGAAATGTCTCTTTGAACTATCAGGTACATGTTTATTCTGAAAATATCTACAGATTTATTAAGAACAACTGTCCACCAAAGTGGACAGTAATATCAGAGTAATATCAGAGTAATATCAGAGATTGTTCTGCATCTTTAGGTAGATATTAATGAGTTTTATTCTCTTGAGAGATGTTTTCCTTCTGTCAAGAGAAGAGAAAGAAGAAGAAAGAAACCCCCCATATTTATATGAATGAACTGCTGTTATTGCATAGAGATAAATATAGAGCTAAATCCCGCAGTCTTTGTTCAAGTGTAATTCTCCTCGAAGGCAAGCTCCTTTTGAAGTGGAAGGTATTTTTGTCTGTCTAAGCAATAAAATTGTGTCAGTTAATTCCATGGAGAAATGTAGCAGGATAAAAAAAAAGATGCTGAAAACAAGAGTTGACATTTAGAGATATTAACATAAGAACTGTTCAAATGTTGAAGAAAGCAGCAAGCATGTCTTCTCTCTTATTTATTTTTTTTTTTATTTGTGGTGATTGAGTGTCAGTATGAATGGCTACTCCTTGGGCTCTACTTCCTTTCTCAATGCTATTTCTATCTTGTGTTTTTCAAATTCTTATGCTGTGCCCATCACTGTGGTATTTGAGCATTTTCCAAAAGAGCATTAAGTAGTGTGACTCACATCTGTAATGTGGACTATTTATTCTTTTCCTTTCACTCCCTGGGGTAAATATGTGTGGATTTAAAATAGATACATAACTTCTCCTTATGCTTGTTTTACTGTTTTTGGGGAAAGGAAATGCAGATGGTATTGAGTTGTAATCTGTAGCAACTAATAGTGATCGGGTCAGCATGAATTCTTGCCAGGATTTGCTGGAACATGATGGCATGGAGAGCAGAAGCTTTCCAGATTTGCTCTCTCCTTTGGCCTGGTTTGGTCTGTGAAATACGCTGAGCTACAGTTGTGCACTGTGTTCCTGTAGTGGAGCTTCTGCTTTAAAAGGGATGAGTGGCTAACTCTGATGCTTTCACTGTCTGTCTTCTGAAATTTTTGGGACCCTTGGAGTGCATTTTGAATGTCATGTACTAAGGAGGTGTCTTTTTGACAAGGGTTTTGAATGTATATTTTGCATAATATTTAATATACATAATGTGTGACAGAGAATTTATATCTGTACTCGGTGTAAGTATTTCTCTGCTGTTTTAAGAATATTTGCGTATTTTCAACTTTTATCTTTGTGGATTTTTTACTGTTTTGGATGCAGCATAGAATTTTTGATGATAACTCTTCCTTCACATTATGCACATCCTTCCTCTTATAAAATCTAGTTTTTTGTGTGTAAGCCTTGTAACAGATTTTAGACAGCACATTTAGACAGCATATGGATTGATTTATGGGATCTATCTTGTGTCTTTTTACTTTTCATTTATTCTTTATTTCTTTATCAAAGAATTGTATTGAGAAGATGCACAGAGAAAAAAAAAGTAGGAGATGTTAGGATGTTTAGAAATCTTTATAAAGATTTCTGTTTCAGCCTGTGTCATGTGCATATACACTTTTCTACTTGCAGTATCATGAGTTTCCAGCTCCTTTGCCTAGCAATTCTAAAGATAAAACACTCTCCTTCTAAAGTCAGACTCCCAACTCTGAAAAGACATACGTTTCAGCTTTTCATGGACATGGACAGTTTGGCCCAGTAGAAGATAAATTTTTCCAAGAGAAATTTCATTATGAAATCATCCAGTTTTTCATGTATTTGCAAAGCATCACAGGTTTACCACGAGGTCTCTGTAAAACACCTCTTTTAAATATGTGTGTGGCATTGTCATCTGATTTACCCACGGGGAGAAGACGTGTGTGCAAACAGGGTGGGTACACTAGAGAACGGTGGCTCTCCGTTAGCCACCACTGTAAGTCCAGAACTGACTACAGGCCTGTGTGTGCTCAGTTGCTGTGTCACTGATTGCATAGACATGGTAAAAATTGGGTAGCTACACTAACTGAAACAAAATCTCTGACAAGGAAACCTCATGGAAGCTGAGCTGTGTGGGCTCTGTGTGGCACTGTGAGAGAGTGAGATGTGGGGCAGGATGCTTGCCTGGAGAAGAGGAAGCAATAGGTGGATGGATGTGAGTCACAACAGTGTCAATATCAGCCTCACAAAGCTATTGTGCTGTTTTATAAATAATTATCCTACTTTATAAATAATAACTTCAGATTTACATAGTTTTAAAAGCATTGTATATTTAGGATTTGGATTTTGGGGCTGGAGGGATGAATTGATTTTGCTGTTTGAAAATAGGGATACATATAGGAATTCCTAAAGTTTATAGGGTCAGGCAAAAAGATTTGCTTTTGACTAAATAGTAAACTAGGACTCCAGGCACTGTTAGTTAAGTTATGCTTCCCTAACTTTGCACTGCCTTTTGTCTGAATTTGGAATGCTGATTAGAACAAGTTTGTTTCTACACCACTCATCATTTTACTCTTGTTTCTATGCATTATGAAATAAAATATGGTCAAGGTGAGTTTAAAAAAAATAACTTTATGCAGTATAAAATAAGTGATAGTGGAAGTTATATAAATATATATAGTCAAGGAAGATACCTATCCCTTACCCCACCCTGCCCTCTCCTCTTCCCTTCCTACTACCTCATTCTCTACTCCCTCCTAATATTCTTTATCACTTCTCCTTTCTTTTGTTTTAACAATCTGTACTACTTTTTGGACCCCTCTCAAAATCTGTCATTATTCCTTGCTCTTCACTCTTATCACATGCTTAGACATTTTATATTGTAGATAATACTTGTCAGGTTGTCACACCTTGTGCCATTTGCTCTTGAAGAAGACTCAGTGTTTACAACTGTTCTCTAAAGCATCTAACACTCTTTTAGGCACTGTCTACAAAAGATAGCGGTAGTACTTCCTCTTAGTGACTAAGCAGAATGTATTTGGAGATTATACTGAGTG